TTTATTCTGTTCATCAGATTTTTTATCCACTTGATTTTTAGATTCACTTGTTGATAGATATGTATTTGTTGTCACTTTGTTGTTCATATTTTTATCTTTACCTTTTTCTTCTTCCTCTTCTTAAAGAATACCCTTCAGTATTTCATATAATACTGGTTTGGTGGTGATGAACTCCTTTAGCTTGTTCTTCTTTGTGAAGCTTTTTATCTGACCTTCAATTCTGAATGATAGCTTTGCTGGGTAGAGTAATCTTGGTTGTAGGTTCTTGGTATACATCACTTTGAATATTTCTTGCCACTCCCTTCTGGCCTGCAAAGTTTCTGTTGAGAAATCAGCTGACAGTCGTATGGGTACTCCCTTGTAGGTAACTAACTGTTTTTCTCTTGCTGCTTTTAAGATTCTCTCTTTGCCTTTTGGCCTTGGCATTTTAATTATGATGTGTCTTGGTGTGGTCCTCTTTGGATTCCTTTTGTTTGGGGTTCTCTGTGCTTCCTGGCTTGTAAATCTATTTCTTTCACCAGGTAGGGGAAGTTTTCTGTCATTATTTCTTCAAATAGGTTTTTAATATCTTGTTCTCTCTCTTCTTCTGGCTCTCCCATAATTCAGATGTTGGTACGTTTGAAGTTGTCCCAGAGGCTCCTTGTACTATCTTCATATTTTTGTATTCTTTTTTCCTTTTGATTTTCCAGTTGGGTGTTTTTTGCTTCTTCATATTTCAAATCTTTGACTTGATTCTTGGGATCCTCTAGTCTGCTGTTGGATCTCTGTATATTATTCTTTATTTCAGTCAGTGTATGCTTAATTTCTAATTGGTCCTTTTTCATATCCTTGAGGGTCTCACTATATTTCTCAGAGGTTTCTAGAAGATTCTTGAGCAACCTTATAACCATAGTTTTGAACTCTATATCCAGTAGTTTGCTTTCCTCCATTTCTTTCATTTGTGACCTATTTCTTTGTCTCCACATTTTGGCTGCTTCCCTGTGTTGATAGAGCAGCTTTGTGAGCTAGATGTCCTATAAGACCCAGTGGCTCAGCCTCCCCAATCATCTGAGGTAAATGTTCTTGGGTTCACCCCTTTGTGGGCTGGGTTCACAGTCTTGTTGTAGTTAAGCCTTGGTTGCTGTTGATATCACTGGGAGGAATTGACCTCCAGGCCAATTAGCTGTGAGGACCAGTTGTGTCTACAATGGGAGAACTGCTGTGCTGGAAACACCCTTATGGCGCAGGACTTGCTTCAGTGGGGCTTTGGTGCTCACTGAGTCTGCCCCCTGAGTGTGTCTCTTATGGATCTGAAGGGTTGCAATCTAGTGTGGTCTTACTTTGACCACTGGGTATACTGGCTCTTCTCCAAGGAGGTGCAAAGTCAGCCACTGCCTGAGGCCACCCAGCAGGAGCTACAGAAAGATCTGCAGATTTCTCTCTTTGGGGTTTGGAGGTGCCCAGATGAGGCGCAGCTGTGAAGCAATGCAGGCTGCTGACGAGCCTTAGGCCTTCTTTTGGAAGCTCTGGGGTTCTTTGACTCAGCTGCAGTTTGTTAGGTTAGGTTGCAAAAGGCCAGACCGTCATTGCAAAATTCTCTGTGCACAGCTTGGGTGAGGTTGTAAATTGGGTGAGGCGTGGTCTCAGGGAATCACAGGGGTGGTGCAAACAGCAATGGTTGCTGTCAGCCTTGCCCTGATAGGTCCCTGGGTCTCTGTGTTCCATGGCCCCATGGAGGAACAATGAACGCTGCAAGCACCTCTGAGAGAAAGCTGCCCTCGTGTTCCGGCCTGATGCCAGACAGTCCAGTTTCTCCCTGTATGAGTTTGGGTCCCCAGAGTCTCGCCTGGAACTGAAGTTTAGAGCAGTAGGGAGTTTGCATCTCCCTCCCATTTGAAAAGGACAACAGTGTATCCAGCTGCCAGCCCCTTTTGCGCGCACCTCCATACCTCTGCACTTCCTCACCTCTGCACCTCCTACTGGACTCAATGCACTTTTCTCTTTCCTTCTAGTTGTCAAACTTCCACTCAGCCATCCTTCCCATGGTTCTGGATGATATCTGTTTTGTCTTTTAGTTGTAGTTTTGATGTGGTTGTGGGAGGCAGTAAGTACGGGCATTTACCTATGCCACCATCTTGGTTCTCTAGTTGACAATTTTTTAAAAAATATATATTTTATTGATTTTTTACAGAGAGGAAGGGAGAGGGATAGAGAGATAGAAACATCGATGAGAGAGAAACATTGATCAGCTGCCTCCTGCACACCCCCTACTGGGGATGTGCCCGCAACCAAGGTACATGCCCTTGACCGGAATTGAACCTGGGACCCTTCAGTCCGTAGGCTGACGCTCTATCCACTGAGCCAAACCGGTTAGGGCTAGTTGACAATTTTTGTAGTCACCCCTCCGTATAACCCTTTTATTGCCTAACCTTATCTAATCTTATTTACTTCTGTGTCTCTCTTCCTATTGAATGAATGAGCTTCTATGAGACTAGAGACATGGTCTCATTCATCTCTGTGTCCAACATGTGCCAGCTATTTGGGGGACACTTAAAAAACAGTTGTTAAATTGAATGGAAATTTGAGATGAATGAAAAAGAGCCTTAGAGTGAAAGTGGCCAGTTACATTATTTCCTTATTCTGGGAAGGTCTAGACTGGAAGCTCAGTTTTGAGTTATGGATGAGCTTTATCTAATAATTTTTTAAACTAAATGTGTAAAGAGCTTGTTGAAGTGCTTTTAAGTACTCACTTAATGTTAGCTGCTATCATTGTTACCCAATAGTTGCTAATAATTATGATTACATATAATAACTTTAAACTTTAGTTTTTCTTAGCTGGAAAATGAGGATAGTCATTCCTGTTTACTTAATTTTGATAATGAACGTGAAGACACTGAAAACTACAGAGGTTCTCACTGCATTGCCTGTGAAAGAATGTGTGGTAACAGGAAGGTTTGTGCTATAGAAGTGGCATAACTCAGGCAGATTGGATGGGGCTCAATGGCAATATAAGAAAACTTTTAAATATTTTTAAAAGATGGCTCAGTTGGATGGGAGAAGTTGATCTATTTTCAAGTGTCAGAACATAAAAAAAGCACATGGGAAAAGATGGTAGGATGGACTCAGGACAGACATGGAATTTAGGATTGGGACCCCGCACAATGTGGATTAACGAAGCATTGCTTCAGGCTCGGCCTCTGGAGAGCAGCGATTGAGGTTGGGAGAGGAGTTTTTATGTCAGATAGACTTCCTATTTCGCAAACTGAATCAAGAGCTTGTACTTCTGAGTCAATGTGAACATTTTATTAAAGGTAAAGCAATGTGGGCCATTCCCAAGGAAGCCATTCAGCACCTGTACGTGTTGCTAATGAGAGGGAGGGGCCTAATTACACATGAAGCAACTTTCAGCCAAGAATCACAGAACCTTTTCTGCTAATGTAATCTTTATCAAGGGAGATAGAGAAGCTGGTGGATTTAAAGTGGCATGTTCTTGCTCCTTGTCATCTTAACAGGCAATTCTAACAAGAGCAAAACTAATGACACCAGGAATTTTTCGATCTAAATGCCAATAAACAAGGGGGTAGAATTTTAGATCTATACTTCGGGAAATGGTAAAATAATAGTAGCAGTAGCAACCGCAGCAGCAGTAAGTGCTTACATAGCATTAACACATATTAACTAATTTAAGCTTTATAACAAGGGTGGGGAATCTTTTTTCTGCCAAGGGCCATTTGGATATTTATACCATCATTTGTGGGCCATAGAAAATCAACTTAAAATTATCCTATTATATTTGGTCAAATATTTAATTAACTTACCTGTAATGCTTTTGTAGGGCCAGACCAAACAATTCTGTAGGCCTTATACAGTCCACAGGCCAGGTGTGCCCCACCCCTGCTTTATATCAATCCTGTGAGGTGGGTACTATCACCACCCCCATTTGATGGATGATAAACTGAGGAATAAAGAGTTTAAATAAGTTCTTCAAGATCTCACCCAATGAGTGGCATAGCTAGGTTTTAAACCCACAGTATCTTGGTCCAGATAATGTGCTTTTAACCATGACTCTCTATTTTTCAATTTGAGCCATTCTAACCAGTATAAAATGTACCTATGGCTTCATGGAATATAGCTGTGAAACTGAGGCCATAAACTTCAGGGGTGGTTTTCTATTCTGTCCCAGGCTTTCCTTGGAAAGAAGAGGTTTGCACAAATTATAACTTATTAGAAGTAAGACTCTTATCCCTTTCATATTTGTATCCTCCAGGGCCCATAGCAGGTGCTCTATAGGCATCAAAGTAAACCAAACAGTCTTTATGATTTTCCACCTCTTTCTGTAAAATTCTCTTTGCTATTGAACATGAGAGGAGGGTGTGAATGCATAGCTCTACCCTAAACTCCCAAAGGCAAGGTGGCATTTCACCAAAATCCTGACTCCAAACTCAAGGTTTGGCTCTAGTCCTTCTTACCTACTAGGCTGTTGGTCCCAGCCAAAGGAATCACTGGTTGCTGGGGTCACCTAGTGCTTTTGTCACCTGTCACATGTTCATATCTGTAAAGGCTGTGGATTATGTTCAAAATTGGAGGCTAAAAGACCTGAGTTTGAATATTGGCAGCCAAACTTCTTAGCTATGTGGCCTTGAACAAGTCATTCTGTTCAGCCTTTCTGAGCTCAGTGTCATCATTTATGAAATGAGGGTGCTAGCCTATTCAGAGAAAAATTGTGAGAGTCAAATAAGACAACATAGCACCTAGCATAGTGCTTGGAACAGGGCTGCTGGGTGCTCAAATTGCAGAAACTGAAATTTCCAGTTATATTGCAACTTCTTGGAGGCCTGTGATCATATCTTACACGTTGTCAGGGATTCTTCTCCACTCCCTCCACCCCTCTTCCTGTCCTTCCCTCCTCCTGCTTGACTTCTTTACTCTTTTCTCCGAGTTTCATCACCAAAACCCCAATTTGTTTATTTGTTGCTTATTGTGCTTAACCAATATTTGGGGTCCTTTTGGTTCTGCCCCAGGAGATATTTGGCTACAAGACTCACGGCTGCCGGAAAACCCTCTGCCTTGCTGGATCCATCTTCTCATTTGGGATCCTCCCCTTGGTGTTTTATTGGAAACCTGCTTGGCATGTGTGGGCAAATTGTGTCCCGTGCTCCTTGCAAGAAGCAGACATCGTGTTGCTAAGGACAACAGTAAGTGTGTACTTGGTTTTGTACCTGGGGGCCCTTTCGCTTAGATAATGTGGAGAAATGTGCACAAAGCAGGTGGCAGGAGGAGGCTCCAGCCTCAGATTCCATCACAGCCTTGCCTTTACATATTCACCAAGAATTCAATAATTTGTGTATTGTGGGATTTCACAGGATATTCCTTTTAAACGTGTGAGTTATATGAATATTAGAGCAGAAAATTACCAGTTAATAGCTAAAAATAATAGGTAGTGGGAAGTAATTAAGTCAGGCTACAACCCACAAAATTCACATTGACCCTTCCCCCCCGCACCCCCCCCCCCCCCCCGCATGCTGACATATTCATGCCTATCCCAGCCCCCTCCACTGGGGCGACTCTGAGGAAGGAAGGGGGGAGGTTGGTTGGAGAGGAGGAGCACTCCTCTGAGGAGGATACTGTCTTCCCCTGCTCATTTGAGAGAGCCACAGTTATTGACTGGAGTGTGTTGCATCCTGCAGATATGCTTGGGTAAGAAATGTAACCATCTTGTCCCCAAGGTCATTGGCTTTCTCTGCTAACCCAAGATCCTGGCATTAAGTGAGTTTTTCTAAATTTGCTCCCATAATACTTCCTCCTAGCACTCATTACACTTAGGCAGTGTGCATAGTTTCTGCCAGATTGTCAGCTCCATAAAGGAAGGGATCATTTCTAACTCAATTGCTGTATCCCTAGTTCCTGCACGTATTGGGGATTCCATAAACAAATGGTGGCTGAAGACTAAAGTGAACATTCCTATTCACAGGCATCAAAGGACAGTCTCAGGGAGGATGCTTTTTTGCCTGAGTGTCTCAAATAATACTTCAGCCCATATGACTCACAATGACAACCAGATTCTTGATAAATAAACCTCTATTGAGCTGTTAGCTTCTTCTGTATACAGAAATCTCTCTAGTAAACATTATATTTAATTCAGTAAGAGGAGAAGATAGTCTCATAACTGGGCAAAAATGTTCCACATTTTAATCTAACAGAGTTGGGGCTAGAACTCAATGAACTTGGCAATTGGATGAAGTCTGTCTTTGTTGACTTACTCCACTGGCATCAGCCCAACCCCTTGTTTCTGGATCCTGGTTGCTTCAAGAACCACCTACTCTATGCCCCAGCCTAGCTGACATGTGAACCATAACGTAAGTGGTAACTGAGGCACCTCCTCCCAGGGTCAACTGTATTTTAACTAAAGACTTTTGGAAAATAAGCTTCAATACTTTAAAAATGCAAGATTATTGTGGAGTAAGAACAAGTCATATTGATGAGGTTGGGGTGGGAGCCTTACACCACTGCTGGCTCACACTATCATGAAGGGTCACAGAATATGCATAAGGGAAGAGTGCCTGGTACTTACCAAGGAAGACTTCATCATTTGACCAGTGAGGAAATGGGGCCAGGAGAGGGGATATAATTTACTGCTTTCCTAGGTGGGTGAGGGGCTTAACTAGGATAAGTCCCATATATCCTAGCTCCTAGAGCAGAGCTGTTCCCATGCAATTGTACTTAGACCATAGATTCCTAAACTTCAAGCAGCATCAGAATCACCTGGAGGATTTATTAACTGCCCTCCCCGTGGAGTTTCTAATTAATTAGGTTTGCATGTTTAACACTTTCTCAGTTGATGCTAATGCATCTGGTAAGACCATGCTTTGAGAAACACCGCTGTGGATAGTTATAACTCATGCTAATGAGCACACTTGGTTTTTTGGGAGAGGAATAGAAGCCTGGACATTTGCTTTATGGTTCAGCCAATATATATTTATATAGTCTCAAGGGGAATGATCCCGATTTATCCAAGTGTTGTAAGTGGTCTTTCTGTACAGAGCCTGGTTGTCTTCATGGAGCCGAGGTAGATGAAGGTTTGCTTTCTGTAGCTCCAAGTTGGGACAAAAGAACATATGGAAGACCACATATTTGGGATCTTTTCTTAGATCAACCCCTCCACATGAACTTAAGGACCTATGAGATCCTTATTTGCTGGCATAAAAGGAGGTTTTGGAAAAGTACTTACATCTACCTCATGGTACTTCCTTTTCCCAGAATTAGTTCTCAGTGGGTGATGTTTTTGCTGCAACAGAAACCACCTCAGATTCAGAAAAGCTTTCTGCCTCTCAGAGCGCATCACCAGACTCTTCAGATCTGAGAACATCTGCTTGGATGAGCTATACTCTCTCAGGTTGCTGGCAGAGTCAAAACACGGATAAAAATAAGAGGAACTAAGCAGAAAATGGCAAGGGAAGGGAGGAAAATGAAAGAAATGGCAAGGAAGTTGGTAAAAGTAAAATGAAGAGGGGCGAAAGAGAGAGAAAGATCTTGTAAGAGTGAAAAAAATAAAAATGTGTCAACCAACAGCCATTTGCAAACTATAAAGTTCATTATCAAACTTGTATATATATCCTGTACTAATAAAAGACAAACATGCAAATTGACCATACTTTCGCTACAACTTAAGGCATGCACACCAGCCAATCAGAGTGACTATATGCAAATTAACCCAACCAAGATGGCGGCCGGCAGCCATGGAGCTGGAGCGAGCAGGAGGCTTGCTTGCTCCAGTGATGGAGGAAGCCAAGGTTCCCTACCTGCCATGGCTCAGCTCTGAGTTCCACTGAAAGCAACAAAATTTCAATTATAGAAGGTAAACAAACCCAGATACCTGCTTTCAGTCAGCCGTGGCCACGAAGCTGGAGTGAGCAGGAGTGGGTTGCCCCTGGCGATGGAGGAAGCCAAGCTTTCCACAGGCCTCCGCTAAAGGCAACAAAGTTTCAATTATAGAAGGTAAATAAATCCCAGAATAAAAAAAGAAAAAGAAAAAAAGGAGAGGCTGGGAGCTTATGTCGCCAGGGTGCTTGGCCAGCCTGAAAATGGCCCTCAGCCCCTCACCCAGACTGGCCAGGCACCCTAGTGGGGACCCTCCACCCTAAAAGGGGTGTGGCCAGCCTGAAAACAGCCATCAGCCCCTCACCCAGGTTGGCCAAACCTCCATAGGGTGAGGGTCCCCACAGGGTTGGACATCCTCCGAGGGGTCCCATATTGCAAGAGGGCATAGGCTGCCCTGAGGGACCCCCCGAGTGCACAAATTTTTGTGCACCGGGCCTCTAGTGCAGTGACGGCGAACATATGACACGTGTGTCAGAGGTGACATGCGAACTCATTTTTTTGGTTGATTTTTCTTTGTTAAATGGCATTTAAATATATAAAATAAATATCAAAAATATAAGTCTTTGTTTTACTATGGTTGCAAATATCAAAACACTTCTATATGTGACATGGCACCAGAGTTAAGTTAGGGTTTTTCAAAATGCTGACACGCTGAGCTCAAAAGGTTCACCATCACTGCTCTAGTGTGTGTGTGTGTGTGTGTGTGTGTGTGTGTATCCTATCTAATAAAAGAGAAACATGGTAATTAGCGTATGACCGCTACCCTTCCCATTGGCTAATCAGGAAGATATGCAAATTAACTGCCAGCCAAAATGGCGGCCAGCAGCCAGGCAGCTGATGCAAACAGGGAGGCTTGCTTGCTTCAGTGACGGAGGGAGACAAGCTTCCCCGCCTGCCTTGCCAGCCTCTCAGCTGCACACTAAGCAACATTGTAACAAATATAGAAGCTAAACAAAACCCTGGGCTTCAGCCAGAAGGACCGCAACATTGTTTCAAATACAGAAGGGTAAACAAAGACCAGAAACCTGCTTTCAGCAGCGGAGGCCTCATAGCTGGAGCCGAGCCTCAGAGCTAAAGCTGGCCCAGAATAAAAAAAAAAGGAAAAAAGGACAGGTTGGGAGCTTCAGTCACCCGCCAGCCTGAAAATGGCCCTCAGCCCCTCACCCAGGCTGTCCAGGGACCCCAGTGGGGACCCTCACCCTAAAGGGTGTGTGACCAGCTGCAAACAGCCATCTTCCCCTCACCCAAGCTGGCCAGGCACCCAAGCGGAACCCCCACCCTGATCCAGGACACCCTTCAGGGCAAACCAGCCGGCCCCCACCTGTGCACCAGGCTTCTATCCTATGTAGTAAAAGGGTAATATGCCTCTCAGCACCAGGATCAGCGTGACAGGGGGCAGCGCCCAAACCCCCTGATCGCCCTGCGGCTCTGTGTGTGACAGGGGGCATGGCCACAACCTCCCTATCCGCCCTGCTCTGTTCCTGACAGGGGGGAGCTCCTCAACCCCCTGACCAGCCCTGCTCTGTGCGTGACAGGGGGGAGCTCCCCAACCCCCTGATCGCCCTGCGGCTCTGTGTGTGACAGGGTGCGGCGCCCCAACCCCCTGATCGGCCCTGCTCTGTGCGTGACAGGGGGGAGCTCCCCAAACCCCTGATCGCCCTGCGGCTCTGTGTGTGACAGAGGGCGGGGCCAGGACCTCCCTATCCGCCCTGCTCTGTTCCTGACAAGGGGGAGCTCTTCAACCCCCTGATCAGCCCTGCTCTGTGCGTGACAGGGGGGAGCTCCCCAACCCCCTGATCGGCCCTGCTCTGTGCGTGACAGGGGGTGGCGCCGCAACCTCCCCATCGACCCTGCCTTGAGTGTGACAGGGGGCGGCGCCCCAACCCCCCAATCGGCCCTACCCTGAGCGTGACTAGAGGTGGCATCGCAACCTCCTGATATGCCCTGCTCTGTGCATGACAGGGGGCGGCGCCCCAACTCCCCAATCGGCCCTGCTCTGAGCCCGACCAGGGACTGCACCTAGGGATTGGGCCTGCCCTCTGCCACCCAGGAGCAGGCCTAAGCCAGCAGGTCATTATCTCCTGAGGGGTCCAAGACTGCAAGAGGGCACAGGCCGGGCAGAGGGACCCTTTCCTCCCCCCCCCCCCCCGAGTGCACAAATTTTTGTGCACCGGGCCTCTAGTATATATATATCTACATTAATAAAAGAGAAACATGGTAATTGGCGTACTACCGCTACCCTTTTCATTGGCTAATCAGTGAGATATGCAAATTAACTGTCAGCCAAGATGGCGGCCGGCAGCCAGGCAGCTTGAAA